TTACGGCTGTGTTGCAGAGGAAGAGCGTGTCGTCCCCTAATTGGAAGGTTGTTGGTTTGATCCCCATCTCCTCCCGCCACATGTCAAAGTATCCTAGAGCAAGATACTGAACCCCAAATTGGTCCGGATGCTGTGCATCAGTGTGTGAATGTGTCTGAATGAGTTAGTTTCTGTTCGATGGGCTTTGCCATCGCTGTGTGAATTAACATTTACCATTAATAGACTACAACTATGTGTGACTGTGTACAGCCCAGTCTCTCCAGGAATAATGTTAATACTAGAAGACTGTAATATAGTAAGTAATTTATCTCCACTGCCAGCATAAAGTGCCAACACAGGACTTCCTCCTGTGTTGTGCTATTGTGATAGTGCAGCAAAAAGCAAATATATGGATGCGGGAACTTCCTGTCTGTTCTTGCAGTTAGCAGTCTCCTCCCTCCTCCCCACCTCACCACACTGAAATTATATAAATTATTTTAAAAAACTTGTTCTGTAAATAGTTCTCTAATATCCTGTATCATTTTCAAATGAAAAACTTTTCCTGTTAGTCCACCTCACTTGAGGTTTTGGCATCAGCCATTAAGTTCCACCCACTCTGAGTACGGATATGAATACAGAAGATTTAGTTGGTTGAACAGATAAAGATATAGATAGCGAATAATGTACTTGCTCATCCCTAACAATAACTATAACTTATTCAGACTGAACTGTCAGCGTCTCTTTCTTGAGCGTCCTTGATTTGTGCATGTAAAGACGAGCAGATGCTGAGAGCTTCTTCATTTTGTGTAAGGGGCTTCACCCAGGAAGCACACAGCCACAGCTTGTATGTGCACAGGTGAGTCCTCTCATTGTTGACGCTCTGGTCTGGGCTCTAGAAGCAGGTTCACTGCAGAAGAGTATTTAATGGACTGCTGTGGTGCAAGAGCTTCCTGGGATGATCGGTTGGTTGACATCCCCCAGGAGGAGACACAGGAGTCCCGTCCTGGCACCAAAAACAAGTCATGAATATTTTATACAATATTATCATTAACATACAATATATAATGTTATCTTTAGCTATCACAGTTTATGCCACTATAGCTACATTTGACTGAAACACCATGCTCTCCATCTCCTGTCCTCAGTCATCCTTCTGATGTGGGCAGGAGAGACATCGTCTTGGAAACCCTGGTGTTTATGTTGTCATGAACTATTTATGTACCTTTATCTGCTACAGCCACCTGTGTACCTGTGTGAAAACAACAACAAAATAAGTGAGATAAATCATCTTTGTGTTCTCCACACAAAGATGGGGCTGCAGCTGAGGGGAATCAACAGCAAGCCAACGAGTTGAACCAGTTTTTCAACAGGTTTGACTTCAGCTCCCCCACCCCTGGCAGCCCCTCTACTGCTCCTCTGAGCAACAACCCCAGGACCATCCCACAGCCCCCACAGCCCCCTACCACCTAGTGCAGCAGACACTTCTCGGCATCACCAACGTCATCCCCCCCACCCCACCCCACTGCTGACACCCAATACAGACCCTGCCACATCCCCCACATCCCAGATTGGACTTCACATCACATCCAGCCAGGTGAGGAGAGAGCTGGAGAGGCTCAAACAGAGGAAAGCTGCTGGACTGGACCGCATCAGCCCTTGCGTGCTGAAGGCATGTTCCAACCAGCTCTGTGGAGTTTTCCAGCACCTCTTCAACCTGAGTCTACACCTTCAGAGAGTGCCAGTGCTCTGGAAAACATCCTGCCTGACATCTCAGTCCGCATCATGTTCTTTGATTTCTCCAGCGCCTTCAACACCCAGACTGCTGAAGGCCAAACTGGAGAACACGCAGGTGGGTGCTCCCCTCATCACATGGGTCGATGACTATCTGACGGGCAGATTCTGAGATTAAAGAACTGTCTGTCTGACCGTCTGATTAGTAACATCGAGGCCCCCCAGGGAACTGTGCTGTCTCCCTTCCTCTTCACTACCTACACTGCAGACTTTAAGTACTGCACTGAGTCGTGTCATCTTCAGAAATTCTTTGATGACACGGCTATCTTGGGGTTTGTTGAGGGTGGGAGGGAGGCTGAGTACAGGGACCTGGTCAATCGCTTTGTGAAGTGGTGTGGGGAGAACCACCTGCAGCTGAACGTGGCAAGACAAAAGAGATGGTGGTGGATTTTAGGAGGAACAAGCCCCTGCCCTCTCCTGTCAGCATCGGTGGGACAGATGTGGATACGGTGTCGGCGTATAAGTACTTGGGTGTCACACTGGACAATAAACTGGACTGGTCCACAAATACAGAGCCATACAAGAAGGCCGCTTTACTTCCTGAGGAGGAGGACCTTAATTTCAAAGTAGACCGGCTTTGTGGCTTCACCAACTTCTCCGTGCCGGACGGGCATCAGGTACAAACTCATCAAAAATGAATCTGTTGTCTTAACCCTAGGAGGTGGTGGAGACAGGATGTTGGCTAATCAGTCTGGAATTGTGGCCCCCCAAAAAAAACGAGCACCAGACTCAATTCTTTCAACCACGCTGCAAAGGTGTGTTCCTCCCCATAATAAGCCTTTTAATAATAATTACCTGCCTATGACATTATAATTCCCTTCTGGGATAAATAAAGTATTTTCTATTCTATTCTATTCCATCTCATTCACACCATTCCTAGATACCAGTATAGCAGAATCATCAGCATACAATAAGAGTTTACATGTCATGGCTGCTGGCATATCATTTATATACATAATAAATAAAAGAGGCCATAAATGGAACCTTGGGGCACTCCACATGTAATATTGTGAGGTTCTGATATAACCCCATCAACAACACATAACAGAGTTCTTGAATAAGACATATTCAGATTTGCAGGATATTTTAGTCCATGTTGTTACTAATTATGAGCATACCTCATACAGCCAGTTACACCCATCACCAGCACCTGAGCAAAAACATATAACAGAATCAGGTGATATGATATATATCACAATATAATTTAACACGTGGGTTGTATAAAAATTCACCCCCTGTACAGTTGTCATGAACGGGGAAATTAGCTATAGAGACTAAATTTGTTTTTTGTACCAGGCTGTAAACATTATTTCTGCTGTAAAGTTGGACATTTTAATATGGGGCCTTATGGAGATTGACTCTGCTGGAGCCAGCTTCAAGTGGCCATTAGGAACTGCAGGTTTTGGCACTTCCATGTTGGCTTCACTTGCTAGCCACAGAGGCTGCTGATGGCTTAAACACAAAAATCAATAATCAATACAATATCACAAAACCACATTTTTAAACACCCCTATAAAAAGAAAGAAGATACTTTATTAATCCCCAGTGGGTAAATTCTTTCTTTTTTCAGTCAATGTTTACACACACACACATAGGCCTAAAATAGACATGCAAATGTGAAGAGATGGTAGAGTGATGGGCTGCCACGTAGCTGCATTCCAAGAGCAGTTAGGGCACATCAACAGTGCATGGGAGGTGGACCTGGCACCTCTCCAGCTACCAGACCACATTCCATACTGCGGTCCATGCTGGACTTGAACCTGTGACCCGAAGTTCCCAAGAAAAGGCCCTACAGACCAAGCTGCTTCCGCCCCTAAATAACCCACATTAATAACTAACCACTCTATGTAATTTATGAAGAAAAAGCCTCACAGATTTGTTTCTGTTTCTGACACGTAGTTAGAATGTTTTTTATTTCCCTTTAATTGGCAGACAAAGTTGATTTTCTTTTCAAAAGAAACAATAACAATAAGCTTAACATTCATTTGACATTTTAAATATCAGATGTACACTGGATTGTTTAAATTGAAGTTGAATCCAATGGAACCAATCATTTGATATAACTCCTTAGACTTTTTGAGATACATCCATTTCTGTATCATACTATATTTAGTCATTAGTCAGGGGTTATTCATTTTATTTAGAATATAGGAATACATCATAAAATGTCTCTAAGGTCTGCGCAATGGCAATACTGGACCAAGAAAAAGCAACAGATTATAATTTTTCTGTAACATTCTATTTATTGGTAGGTTGGTGTGAACATACAGTCGCACATACAATAACATTTCTTAACTCCTCCCCTCTTTCACATTTAGGGAAACAAAAAAGGTATAATATTTTGTTGGTTCTGTGGTTGCAATATCAATATCAGTTATTAACTTTGGCCTGATCACTTTCCAGGAATTGCATAAAAGTGTCCCGTATGACACCTCCCTCATTGGGCTCATCTCTGATGGAGATGAGTCCGCCTACAGATGGGAGATTGACCATCTGGTGACCTGGTGCAGCCAGAACAACCTGGAGCTAAACGCTCTAAAAACAGTGGAGATGGTTGTGGACTTTAGAAAGAACCCAGCCCCACCCACCCCCATCATCTTGTGTGACTCCCCAGTTGACTCTGTGGAGTCCTTCTGCTTCCTGGGTACCATCATCACCCAGGACCTCAAGTGCTGATGTTCAGCTCCCTCACCAAGAAAGCCCAGCAGAGGATGTACTTCCTGCGGCAGCTGGGGAAATTCAACCTGCCAAAGACGATGATGGTGCACTTCTACACCGCCATCATCGAGTCCATCCTCACCTCATCCATCACCATCTGGTACGCTGCTGTCACTGTCACTGTCCATGCTTTTTTTCATAACACAATTGAATCTGCTCTAATCTGACACTAAGGCTTTCAGTGTGAATGTAGCCTAACTGTCTCTCTGCTCATGATGTTTGCCTTGTTGGGCTCTAGGGAGGAGCAGCCGTGGATCAGAAGGTAGAGTAGGTCATCCATAAACCCCAGAGTTTGCAGTTTGATTACCCAGCTTTCCCTGTCAACGAACAAGACCCTCTACCCCAAGTTGCTACCCAGGTGCCCATGGCTGCCCCTGTCCCCAATGGCATAGAATGGGTCAAATGTGAAGGACAAATTTCCATGTATGTAAATGCTGTGAAATGTATAAACATGACAACGTTGCAGAAATACCTTTTCAGAGTGTTCAACAACACAGTCAGCGGATCAGAAATCTTCAGGTAGCACACTTTATTGCACGACAGACACACACACAGTCAAACACCATTACTGTACACTGTTTGAACTTTTCAAAAGCATTTCAAAGTTTACAGACGGTCAGGTTAGTCTCTGTTCACTTGGAGTGCGGTGCTCGGCTCCAGCCGGCCCTCTCTCTGGTGTGAAGCCTGAAGTGGGTGTTGAGGTGTGCCGACTGGTTGAAACATTTCCCGCACACGTGGCAGCGAAAGGGTTTTTCCCCTGTGTGGATGCGGTGGTGCCTCTTCAGCATGCTGACCGTGGTGAAGCTCTTTCGGCACACCGCGCAGCTGTATGGTTTCTCCTTGGTGTGCCAGCGCATGTGGACCTCCAGCTGGCAGGCAAAGCTGAAGCCCTTCCCGCACTCTTTGCAGCTGTGCCACCTCTGGATGCTCTGGCTCGGGTGGGACGAGCGAGGCGGAGGGGGCTTCAGGGATCTTACATTCTTGATCTGCAGTATGTGCGCGCTCTGTTTTCCATTTGAGCGGAGTAGCCCTCTCACCTGCTGATCTGTTTTCGGGGTCCTGTGACTCTTTGCAGGGCTGGTGCAGATATCGCTCTGAGCTGCTCTGCAGTTTGAATAAACAGTCATGGAGGACGGTAGGGTGTTGGCTGGCTGCTGTTTCCTGCTGTCCTCTCTGTCGCTCTCAGCCTTAACATCCTGGGATGATAGCGGAGGCGGAGAGACGCTCCGTCTGCTGCACGCAGTCTGGGCTGGTGGTGGATGTGACCTCTGCGGTGGCTCCACGTGGCTGCAGTTTCCTTCCTCTGGGTCTCTGGCTTCTTGTGAACAGTCTGTTTGAACATTTCTGACCTTGGGTTCTTCTTTAATCTGTGGCAGCAGCTCCACGCTGCCTCTCCACTCAGACTCACAGGGCTGAGTGTCTTCCTGGGGCAGGATGGACTGAGGTTCTGAAAGGTTACAAACATCACAGTCATGATGGGTGTATATGCATGAATATATGCTTTTACTGTGTCTTTTGCTGGGATGCCCAAAGGTTTGTGCGTGAGTATGCCAGTTTCATGTTGTTTCCACTAAACTCCATTCAAAAGGTCTGCAGATTTACCTTTGCTAAAAAGAAATCACACAGACCAAAATAAGACCGCATGAATTGATAGGTTAAAATAAGAAAAATACAGAATGACACCAGTTTGGACAAAAATCCCCCAACTACTCACTGACACACGACTTTACTTTGGAGTCTGACCTCCAGTTAACTCCTCTGTTTAGACTTGAGCTTGAACATTAGCTAGGTTTCTTTTTAGTTCTCAGTCATGCTCATCTATTTTTTCCTTTTGTTAATGAGAGATGCTGGAAGCAAAGGACCACCATCTCTTCAACATGTCCTGTGTTGACATCCCCTGTATTAGCCCCATTACAGCCTGATATCATAATTTATTCTGGGATTTAGACAATTCTTTGGAAATAAATATGCATGCTATCATACAACATTATTATCATAATGTGCTATAATAGTTGTTCCCAACCTGTTTCCTTAAGGGACCCCTTTTTTCATCACTGTCTGTATTAATGACCCCTGACTGATATCTGAGTGATATTTTATATCTCTTATATGATATTCAGTGCAGATTATTTCCTATAAATATTGCATCAGAGATGAGTTTTACTGATATTTGTAGGAACTTTATAATTACAGTTCTGTCTACTTTTTTTTTAATATGCATATATTTTATATATACATATATACATAATATCTCATTGTTCTATCAGCTCTTTGGTTGTTTAGGCTGTTTATCATAGTGAAGGCTCTGTGAATATAACTTGTGTTCAGATCTTAAAAAGTTATGCTTAAGTTTTTTTACACCCCTTAAAATCAATAATGGCTTGTGACCCCCCCACCTTTTTTTTTTTTTTTTTTTTTTTTTTTTTTTTTTTTTTTTTATTATTTTTTTTAATTTTATTTTCTTTTTTTGGGTAAAAAAAAAAAAAACCCTAGCGTTTTTTTTTAAAATAATATTTTTTTTTTTTTCCCCCCCCCCCCCCCCTATCAACACCCCCCCCCCCCACCATGAGGAGGGGGGGCCACAACAAAAAAAAAAAAAAAACCCCCCCCCAAAACTTTTTTTCCCCCCCCCCCCCAAAGGGGGGCACCAAAAGAGTGTGAAAGCAGTGTGAAACCCCCCCATCACTCCCACTGTGATATAAATGTCACTCTGCACTTTGTCCTATTAGCCAAGTATTACAGAACCAGACAGAACCAAGTTATCAGAACACAAAGTCTGCATTAAATAAGGTGGGCAACAAGAACAAGGTAGATATCATACAGTGTCAGATATTTGTCATGAGTTGCTAATATTCAAGCCTTAAGTCATCCCATAACTTTAAAGACACACATATTTAAAAGTATTTCAAATGACACTGTAATGTTGAGAACCTTGGCTCAGTAACTAATTAATGTAATGTAATTACTAATTACATGGAGGGACAAGAACTCGATATTTCCACTGCTACAGGTATCATCAGAGCCACTGCATCCATCACCTGTTGCATTCTGGGAGATTATCACAACAGATTGTACACAAACCCAGATTCTTTACTGTTTCCTTCCACTGATATTCCACAGTAGAACTGTTTGTTATTACTACTCTTAATGTTGTTGGTGTCGCTTTAAAGCTGTTGCACCATTATACTGTCAGTACAATCCAGTACAATAAAGAAGAGCCATGCTACAGGCTCACAGCACACAGCTCTACCCATGAGCGTTAAAACGGGTCTATTTTGAATGAGGTTTGGTGTGACACTCAGTACACAGAGCAGCACATGGAGCAGCTGCTGGTCCTCACCTGGCTGCAGCAGGAGCCGTTGGACGGCCACATTGAGGAGCCGTTTGAGCCGCTCGTTCTCCTCCTTGGAGCGCAGGATTTCGCTCTGGTACTCGGCCACCGTGTCCTTCACGGCGCGGAAGATCTCTTCGGCGGCCGCCGTCAGCCTGTCGTTCAGAAACACGTTCAGCAGCTCCAGTTTGGTCATGTTTTTCACTGCAGCTGTCTCCAGAGGCGGAACGTCCTTCTGTTTACATCCACTAACCAGGAAGTACAAGCGTGCCGGCTCCTACGTGCCGTCAGCGTTCAGAGAGGCTCTGGTGCTTTACCGCCCCCTGCTGGACAGGAGGCTACACAGCACTGCCTGTGGTCTAACTCAGCGGTTCCCAACCTTTCCCATCAGAGTACACTGATGACCCCTGACTCAGTGGCCTATTTCCGGGATGTTTCATATTATATTACTTCATATTATACTCAGCTGCACAACAAAACAGTTAACACAATAACTGCAGGACGTTTGTGCACTTAAACAAGCAGTTCAACGACTTTTGAGCATTTTTAAAGAACATTGTCTGTGATTATTGCAGATATGTTTTTCTGATATTTTCAGGAACTTTTTATGCAATCTGTCTGTATAATTATGATTATGATGATGATTTAAAAAAAACAACCTCCATTTCCATTTCAAAGGTCACATTGTTCTGTTGTCTTATAGAATACACTTACATCAATGCTTCTTATTGACATTTCTTTCCTTTATTTTCGTATTTGGTGTTTAGGTAATCAAGTTACTTTAATATAGTGATATTTGGATGAGGTTACTGACTGCATTTTTTAGCAGGTAATTAGTGATAGTATTGGACTAGATAACTTCAGTCACTGAGCCTTCCCTCAAACTATTTGGAACTCCGCCTCCCACTTTGAAAACTTCTGAAATAGATTAAATATAAACCGACTGAAGTGTTTGTTACAATCTAGGTTGAAAAACAAGCTATCCGTGTTACATTTCTTTCAACTGATGTCATTCCCCAAACCCAGTGCAAAGCATCACTACTTGAAATCATCAGTGAATTATTGATCCTGCAGGTCAGTAAAAGCCTTTTTTATTTACACAGTAATTTGTACAAGTCACTTTGAACAGTAATTGTGTGGGAAAGGGTCAGGGCAGAGCAAACAAGTATTAAGACCAAAAATAAGTTGATCTTTTCTCTGAGCACGATGATAAATCAATGCTAACACAAAAAGACAACTAAAGACAGCATATTTGGACTGAGATACAGTGTTTGTCATATAAAGAACATAGAAACATCAGAAACAGTCCCTGAGGTGTTCATTAACAAACACGAGAGCACTTATCCCAGACTGGTTGTTTCAAAGTATGCCCACTGAATAAAAGAACTGGTTAAAAAAAAAACACACACATTCCATTCAAACATTATAAAAACCACTGAAGGACAGTCACAGGCAGAAGGTGCACTCTGTAAGATCTGAGTGGAAAATCTAGAAACCACATATACCTGATGGATAAAACAATCCTAACATCCATTTTGGAAACGTCCTCTCAGGGGCTGACCTGAGCGTTGTTGACAGGGTCATCATTAAAGTAAAATTCATAGATTTGAATGTCATAATCTGGAACTAGCTGGGCGTCCTCAGCCCTGTCCACTCACAGGTATAAAATACACAAGTAGTTGAGGGGCAGGCTACTGTAAGTGCAGCAGTATTCATTATTCTATATTCAGCTTGCTCTTCCCTTTTGCATACACAGTATACACGTATGACTTCTCTCTAAAACGACACGTTCGTCATTTCTGACATTTAACATCTTCCAGGAATTCCTGACAATCAGGGGACGTCCTTAACGTCTCCCAGCACCAGAGCTTTTTTCATTTTCTCTTTCCAAGACCTGAAAAGTCTGACAATGATCATGAACCAACATGATAAAAATAACTCCTGGGCCATCAGTCGATCATATGGGCAGGAAATGAAAAAGGAGAGAAGATGTCTAAAATGTAAATAACAACAAATATGAACCTAAAGCTTAAAATAAGTTTGAAGAAAAATAAATGTCTTTTTAAAACACTCCATGGTAGATAGTGGGTGATGGTCTTCACTTCTTGTACATATCGAGTCACAGGACAAGGTGGTGGGTGTGAAGCTGGGGCAGAGTGTTGACGGTGCTCGACGGAGCCCTCAGCTGTCGATCATCTCCGACAGCTCCTGCAGAAGGTCTTCCTCTCCGATGCCAGGGTCCACGTCTTCACCCTCCAAATGTTCCTCAGTGAATTCGTTGATCAGGTCGTCGAAGTCATCCACAGCGGAGGTGGAGGAGGTGGCGGTGGCACTGGAGGTGGACGCGGTGCGGGCTGTGGTTATGCTCTGTCTCCGTGACTTGGGCTGAGTCGGAGTCTTCAGGACTGGGCTGAAATGTGCAGAGAGGCCTGTTATTTATTTATTTGTGACAACGCTACATTAATGAAAGACATCAGAACCACTTCCAGTAATTTTCACTGCCCATTTAACACCCATACATTCTGTATCAGAAGGGCTGTTTGGGCCCATTGTCCTTAAAAGGTTTTATATGAGATATTAAGCATTAATTAATATAACAGTAATGTTTGCCAGTGATTGTTGGAACACTGGAAAGGCTAACAAAGACAGTTTTGGTGAGTTTTATTTTGTTTCTGTCCACTTTGAATGAAGCTACAATAATATGATAATATGTGAGGTAAAATGAGTGTTTTTGTCTATGGAGTCTGGTGGAGAGTAATAGTGATATTATGGCTGTTTCTTGTTAAACTAAAAGGTCTATCTCTGTAGGGATCCTTTACCATAATGTGCTCAGACACTGAGTCTGTCAGTGGTAACAACAACTGTTAGTGGATGTACATTAGACAGGCACATTTGTCCCCAAGGATTAACACTAGTTTTCGCTCACATCTAACTCTTAAGGGTTTGGGTTATTTGGATCAACCCTGAGTTGTTGGAAAGACTAACAAAGACAGTTCTGGTGAGTTTTATTTTGTTTCTAACCCATAGTTTTGGTCTGAGATGCTGGCGCTCTAGTGTGACGAGTGTCAAGTCAATTTTGTATATTTAACTTTTCATACAAATTTCATACTCTTCTGGGGAGAGATGGAACATCTGAGTTCACATTCTAGTCTACCAAACATTACAAGGTCAACAGGAAAAAAACTGTCCTGGTGGTAATCTGTAATAACATTGTTTCTTTGTGATCACAGAATAATACATAGTTAAAAAATGATCACTTCCCACACCTGTCGAAAGACATATCCTTGGTAAAGTCTGACATTACCAACAAGTTAGCGTCCATGTTTACATCTAAAGTTAAAGTCTGAAGCTCTCTGCGGGCCTTTACCTTTGGGGGACTGTACAGGCTTCTCTGGCAGCAGCAACACTGACAGTGGGCTTGGTTTCGTGGCCCAGACTCTGTTTGAAGACGGGGACAGTCTGGAGGTCCTCTCTCAGTGGGCTGGAGCTGGAGCCCAAGTCTAAAAGGGTGCTGGGACTACACGGAACGGTAGAGCTCAGCTGGGCCTCTGCACTGGAGGACGGGAACACCTGACAACAGAAGACACAGGAGGTCATTAACAGCTCTAGACGGTTTACATTAGATGACAATTTAATTAGCTGTAGGCTGAATATGTAGAGACCAGTTACATAACAATGACAACGTGTGTATTAAACTACTGAACACTAAATGTCAATGTGTTAATGATGTGTTGGATAGAAAAGCAGAAATTAAATGTGAGAGATACAAATAAACTAGTTAAAAAATATAGATGAATACAATATACACAAATAAGGAAATATATGGGAACATGAAAGCAAATATGAAACGTCCCAGATAAAATGAATTTAAGATACAGAAAAGGACTTGCTACATGCTCCAGACAGACATAGGAAATCTAAATTCACCTTGAATGTTCCAACCTACCTGTCTGTCTCTGCATGCTGTCTCCTGCAGTGGCTCGTCCAGCACTGTGGACACGCTGTTCAGAGGTTTAACAGCAGCGACAGCAGACCGCTCTGCTCCCCTCCTCTTCTGGCCTGGTTTCACCTGCACTGCAAGCTTCATGACAGACGGCTTCACATTCAGTTTGGGCCTCACTGAAAAGAAAGCAAAGTTTTAATGATCTATAAAGAAAGAGAGCTCTTCATCTTCTCTTTCTATCTTATCTGTCTGGAGGATCTGTTACACACACACACACATTCTTTAGTACAAAGCCTGTCTAAAGCCCAGTTATGTGTATACATGGCCAAACAATCAGGGTTCTGTAAATCCCTAACCCTGTGAAGTTCAACTGAAAGGGATGCAAAATGAAGTGTGTATAACAGAGGTAAAGGTGCAGTACCTTTGGTGTCTGTAGTGTGTTCTGGGGATTTCTTCTGATTATTGTTCAGTGTAGGGGCCTCTGCAGCTGGGCACTGGGAAGCTGCTCTGGCCTGCTTGGCTGGTGACAGTGTGGTGGAGTTCCTTGTGTTTTTGTCTGGGACCTCCCGTGAGCGGGACTCGGCCTCCAGCGGAGGAGAGCTCTGCTTCACAGAGACTGAGGTAACTGCAGCACCCCTTGTACCGGGAGTAGTATTGCTGTTCAGAGGGGAGGTGGCCTTGGGTTTGAGGGGGATCAGCCTCCGAACAGGGAGCTTTTGGGTGAAGGGGGTACTGTCAGGGGCCACAGCGGTGGAGGGAGGTGATGAGGAGCCTGGCGATGTAACACTGACATTAGCAGGAAGCTTCCTTTTCAGGGTTCCTTCAGTGCTCTGTTTCTGAGAAGGTTCTGCTTCAGCCGAGCCTTTGGCCTGCTCCTCCATTTCCTGCTTGCGAAGGCGTTTCTCCTGCATGATCTCCTCGAAGGTCTTGACCTTGACGTTGTTACCGTTGGCAACACCGTTCTAGAAAGACACAGAAGAATTACCATCACACAGAGAAAAACAGAACAAAAAACCACAGCCAATACTGCAGTATCTTCTGGAGCAATACTGTCAAAGTTGATGAAGATAAACCAGTCATACTCGGAGCAGACTTCAGGTGACCTTGATGACTTAAGGCTGTTACATAATCACCGTTCCCGACCTGTAGCGCGACAATGTGACGTCACGGGAGCGCCGTAACTATTTAAACTTGCGCGTGGTGGTCGCGACACTAGTTGCAGTCTTCTCCTGAACAGAGGTGTCGCGACTGAGGAAAGGCTACCGACTTCGCTATTTCTACGCACTAGAAGAAGAAAAAGGTAAATAATCTTTTTTGATTTTCCAAATCGGTCATGGAGGTTCTTCCAAATTTTCCGGCATATGGCCTCCTCTTTTCCAACATTCTGGCACCTCTGGGCATCTCTGTGTTCCTTCATTGAAGGATCGTACAGATGCCTGTAGAGGCGCACTTGCTCGGAAAGCTTGCCCTCGAACTCGTCCATCTTCCTGTTTCCGCTATGGCGCACCCAGCTGAAAAAAATTGGGTGGTGCGCGACCCGGCCTAAATCCTGGTGCGCCAGCGAGATCTACGTCATTCTGACGTCACATTGTCGTGCTACAGGTCGGGAACGGCGAGTATGTAACAGCCGAGTACTGAGGCTCAGTCGATGAGAATTAGATCAGCAATATAAGTTAAGCACAGTGCAGTGCCAACCCAGTTCTGAAAGTTGCCTCCTGTCTGGGGATATTTAACACAAACCTAGATCCACAGGATCTACGAGGGTCCCAAATTTGGTCATAACTTAGGCAGAAGTTCCAAGGCCTACCTTACCTTACCCTGTCACCCAGTGACACAGACACACACATACAGTGCATAAAGGAGACTCACTCAGTTATTCTGTCAGACTTGTCTTAACCTTGGTCTTCTACAACAAAGTGCTCAGTGTTCAACCTTATCAGTTGCTCTGCATAGTAGGCTACAGTCAGCCAAACAGTCAGAGAACAACAGTCAGAGGCACAGGCTGTGTCTGTAGATGACCTTACAGTGGAATGGGGAGCACTATACCATTTCAGTATATCTTTATTTCCTAGTATCTGGTGCTTGTATTTACCTAGATAATACAGTTGAATTCTGCAGTTTATTAAGAAAAAAATGCCCGCATGTGTTAATGTTTCTAATTAAACTGTATTCTGTTGAGTGTTTGTTTTTATGGTGAGATTATAGGGGTGGGCGATATGGGCAAAAAATAATATCTCAATATTTTTGGGGATTTTGGCGATAACGATAATCAGTCGATATCCTTTAAAATGTGATTAGAATTGTCTGAGCTGGACTTGTGTCCACCAAACGCATTTACAGCGCTGAGAGAGCTCAAAAACTCATTTTCTGAGCGCCCAGCAGTGTTAAAAGTTGAACAGATTTCAACTTGAAGCGCTCTGAGCGCTGCGCTAAAAAAAAACCGTCTCCGCTGACATCTTTTTACCGCTGAAGGCGCTTAGCGCTCTGAACGCTGAAGCCCATAGGACCCACGTCTCGGCACTAAATCATCTGAAGTACCGGTAGCTTCAGGGACTGGAGGTGCTTGCATTTTCTCTCTACCATCACAACACGCTGCTAAACTGTTGCAAGGAGGATGCTAGCGAGAGGTCATGTGATCAAGTCATGTGATCACGTAGGCCCACTAGTTGTGTGACTGAATCCTGCCATGCTGTAGAGAGCGTTGCTGCACCGTGTATTAATGGATGTGAGGAGTTTCCGCGTGCGTTTAAATGTTTTTGTTGAAGTAATTGAAATACTCGATAATAGAAATTTGCACATCGTCAAAACAACAATGACGATATTATCGCAAACGATATATATCGCCCACCTCTATGAGATTACATAAATAAATTAGTCTAATTGGCTTTTGTTGGGGCTTTTGCAATGGCGGTAGTGTGCAGCCTCCACTTGTGTCTCTCCTCCGAGTAGAAGCTGTGCCGTGCCCATGGTGAAACACTGCTGCCCGCTGGGCTGAGCTTCTGCACACAGAGCTCAGTGGAGTGGAGGAGAGACAGACAGCAGAGAAAGTTGACAATGCCTGGACTGCATAAGAACTTCACGAGTAAAACACTTGTAAAACAGATTATGGATGTAATCTGGTCAATATAGCCAATACCAAACAGTTAAAAAGTGCCTGGATCAGCCACGATACCAATCTACATCAGACTGGGACCTCCCTACTGCAGCATCTTACCTCAGGAACAGCTGTAGGAGTTTTCAGTGGCTTCTCTGTCACAGCACTCTTCTCTGTTGTGATGTTGCCTGCTGAGTTCAACACAGGATTCCCATTAGAAATACAAAAACATGGTATGTAAGAGGAGGACTAGCAAAAACCTTAAGAAAACAACTCTTTGTGTCAACACACAGGGAAGAAAACTATGACTCACTCTGGGGGGGCAGTTTCTTGATGCGCAGTAGGCGTGGTTTCTTAGCACCATTCTCCTCAGTATCAGAGTTCTTCTTGTTTTCAGCCTCCAAGGCCTGCTGAGTCTGAATCCTCGCTGCCTTCTCCCTGCGGATCTCCTCCAGGGTCTTTACTCGAACGCCCCCCACATTACCAGAGTCATTAGCAGGTCCAGCTGTATCAGACTCTTCCTGGTTCTTGCCTGGAGCTTTCTCCACAGTGTGCTTGGCCTTCTTAGTGCTGGGGTTCTGCTCCTGCTGCTGCTCCTCCTGTCTTTTCTTCTTGGCATGAAGGATCTCAGAGAACGTTTTGATGTGGTTGATGGAGTCGTCCTTGATGGTGATGGCTCGCTTGACACCCTTGGTGGTCTTGGTGGTGATAGTTTTAGTTGAGTTGATTTCTGGATCCATGTCTGAAGGGCCGTCTTCTGACTGAGACTTTGATGCCTTCTCCTGTTTGATCTCCTCCAGGGTTTTGATGCGGATCTGCTCAGGAGCTTTCTTTGATTCTGTGTTGGTCCCAGCTACTGGGAAAGATGGGAAACAACAATAGACAATGGTTTAATCAATGTGCATCAGTGTTTCCCATTAATTACTTTGACTGTGGCGGCCCGCCACGGTCTATTTTGTCCCACCACAGTCTGAATAAACCGAAAAAGATTCTTACACTTCTCATAATAACATTAAAGATCTGTAACTTGTGTTTTGCGCAGCTGCAAAGCATCTCTCACTCCCAGTCAGTCGGCTCTATGTATGCTCTAATTGATTTTGTGTTTTTACCATTCGCATCTATACAATCAATGTGTTTATGATTAAATTGTTTACAAGAGCACACAGTTCTTCATAGATCTAGCCTCTTAATTTTGCTTTCAAAGTGCACCAGATGGATGCATTTAACTTTAAAATGTAAAAAAGCATGCCCCCAGACCCCCCCAAGAGGGTCCAACATCCACCCACCATAGTCTCACAAAATCCTGTGGGAAACACTCGTGCATGATTCATATATTTCCAGACAAAATACTGGACAATGTTTACTTCTCATATTCTTCTGACGTCTTACCTGGTTGAGCGGGTGCAACAGACCCAGCAGATAATCCAAGTCTTTCCTTAATAGGCTTCAAAGCTGCAGAGGAAAGGTAAATGTTTAAGCAGACATATTATCTTTCTACCTTAAGATGCATCATCTAGCATCAGCATGAAGTGGAGTAAAAGGCTACAGGTGATGTATAAAAGTTGATGTGTCCTGACTCACCTTTCTGAGGGGGCATTAAAGGCTCTTCCTCGTCCACAACTCTGCCCAGACGCTCTGCCAGACTCCTTTTCAGTGGGACATCTACAGCAAGGACAGCAATGAGCTTCTAATCAGTACTCTTAACATTATTATCACCCCTGGAATGAAATCTGTTAATACAGATTTAACAAGAATGAAAACGTACCTGTGTTGGGCACCTTCCTTCCAAGCCTTTCTGCCACACTGCCTCTTGGTCGCACAGTTTCTTCAAGGACAATTTGGCCTAGGTTAAAAGAAGGACCATGTGCTGGTTGAGAACAGGGTAATTATAATTTTACTTCTCTTTAGGACAGAAACAATTACTATGCTTTTAGTTAATTTCAGCTTGACACTAATTTCTCAAGTGGGGAACATTCAGACCAGATATCTTAGAATGGTCAATCCATGTTGCACCTCATCGAAGGTGAGAGACAAATAAGTTCCAATTGACTCTTTGTAGGTCCCGCCCCTTTTTTGCTCTACGTCCCAAAACAATTCAACAAGCCTCTGTCAATTTCCTCCTTTCCTGTAGTTAGATATGCTATGTGCTAGGCTAATCTATGCTGAAAGACAACCACATTTTAAAGATGGTTAACAGGTAAAAACAACATATATAGTCAAATCTTAAGTAAGCAAATGTTAGCAGAACATTAGCTAGTTAATTCAATTAAATTTTATTTGTATAGCGCCAATTCATAACAGAAGTTATCTCAGGACACTTTTCAAATAGAGCAGGTCTAGATCGAACTCTTTAAAATATAGTTAGTTAGGTAGCCTTTTCTAACATAAGCTTTCAAGTTAAAACTAGCAAGCTGGTTAGCTAACAATTGATGTGGTCATACATACGTTTATTTTAGCGCTATCCATGTTGAGCCGCTTCATCAATTTATACAATTCATAAAAACCATCATCAGACTGAAAGATATAATATCAACAAATTATTGCTTTGTACCATCTCTCGCCTCGTAGATTGCTGGTCTAAAAAATGAGTGGATGTTTTCCTTTGCCGAGGTTTCAGCACTCTGGATGGGGTAGCCAGCTCTCTTCATGCTGGCCTTGAGGGCCTTCCTCAGCCGGATCTCCTCCAGGGTGCTTACTCCAAAGTTCAGCGAGTCATCTGTCAAAGACACAACATGACCCCATGCACACAGGATTTGGGCGTTGAGCTCTGGTCACAAATTATGATGAATCTGGTTTCCAAAGTTTAGTCTCTGACCACAATCTCACCTGATCTGGTTAGTTTTCTAGGAGAAGGGCCAACCTTGCCATCCTCTCCCTCCTCTGAGAACTGATCTGGAAAAATAAAGACACATGAATATCCTTTCTGAAAATAAGAACTAGAAGAGACAAAGAAGTCATTTTGAAATCAAATCCAGCTCACCATCTTCATCCTCGTCATCATCTGCTGGATTAATCACCACTGGTGGATGGGTGGGGCTCGGTACTGGCTCCTGAGCTTCTGTCTTGATGACGCCTCTGAGCTGGGGATTGGCTGCAGTGGGGAGAGGGGCAGGTGGCGGGGGAGCCGGTTCCTCTTGCGGCTGTTCTTTGTTCTTAGTTAGACCTGGGAGGATTACATCAATTATCATTACTGTCTTTCACAGGTGTATGTCAAATTGTCTTAAACTCTCTATAATCCCTTGGTATGTTTGCTTAAACAAAGCCCACTTACTTTTATCAGCTGGGACAAACATGCCATCAATGTAACGGGGCTTTTCATGGAAGAAGGCACAGTGTGGCTTCTGGCAGCCGGCTGCTTGGTTCTCCCAATAACAAGGTATCTCCTTTCGGTTTTTCTGTTTTGATGAAAGAGATAAAACATTGCATCTCAATCACATCTATTTACATTGAATGTGTCCTTACACATAAAACAACAGAACTGAATCAAAAAACTTTTTTTCTGAACGATCTTTTCACTCTAATACACTGATCATGTTACCGTTTCTCCTAGTAAAATCTGGTATAGTGATTAAAAAAGAAAAGACTTAAGTCTGTGGCCAGAACACATGGCACATTCATGACTTTAGACTGCAATGGTGGAGATATTATATTTGACATTATGGAGGAAGAGCCATCATCCTTATCTTCAAGGAAAGTATTTAGACACATTGCAGATATGATTATACTGTGCTGTAAATCACAGATAAAGCTTATCAACAATCTACAGACATCTCAATTTTTATTTGGAGTAACATAAGTTAATATTAATGCCAGTCTTTGTAGCATCCTGACCTGTTGGCTTGTTGTGTAGTAATCTTTAAAATGCATTAAATGTTCCTCCTAACAGGTCCAGAGGCAGGAGTGGAACTCCTGGCCCAGGTACTTTACAGGGAAACTTTTTCTACCCTTCGGTAACGGCCATTCAAGACACACACAGCCTCGAGTGGGCAAAGCTTAAAGGAGATAGTTCCAAGCTCCTTTAGTTTAAATTTAAGCTTACTGTTATCTCCATGTGGCGAAACTTGCAGACAGTACGGAAGCAGCGTCCCTCCTGCCAGAGGTTGCAGACGGTCTCATTGCCCATAGCTGCCTCACAGTGTCTGAAGGGGCAGCTGTCACCCTGCACAATAAATGAAACCCAGTTAAGACCCAACTCTTCCCTCTGGTCACCTGGTGACTTTCCAACTGGTTACAATATGTGTAAATATGTGAGCTTTGTGCTCAACCTTTGCTTACTTTAGAGCAGGTGGAATAGTAAAAGAAGTAGCAGTCATCTCCATGGTTGGTCATAGTAATGCTGGAACACGTCTTGATTGACAGAGGTGATGAGGTCACGACCTTTAAACCCAGCAGGTGGTTCTCTTCAGGGCCAACAGGACTCTCCCTGACAGCACAGAGCACAGCAACGCATGAGAAACAGAAACCCTACTCCATTACATCACCATAAGCTTTCTAACATGTCTGCACATGTACAGCTAATACCAAGAAGTCTAATTCTAGTTTTCCCCATACAAAATGACTTACTCCAGCTTGAACATTTGATACAATATCAAATTCATTGGAGTTTTATGCAATCTATTGTTTTGCACTCATCAATTCAAAAGTCTCATGTAAAAACAATGATTACGTGCAAAAATGGGGCTAGGGAAAGGGGGGCTGTCATTTTAAGGCTGCTGTGCAAATTTAAGGTCTATTCCACCATGGCACTGTGGACAAATGCCCATGTCCTCAATGTGACCCAAGTTTGGTTGACACACAGTATAAAATTGGGGAACTGTTATTGTCTTCTCAAAAAACTTTGTTTTTTTTAATCACATAAATTGAAGTTGGGGACCGGCCTCATTTCTGAAGTCCCTACGTGAAAAGAGTAAAAATCTATAGACTGTCGAAGAAGAAGAAAATGTGTATGGAATAATATGTAAACAACAAAATAAAACAGGAAAACATGTGACGCAACTAATTATGTAACCTGCAGACTAATTTTGATTTTGTTTTGCTCCACCTTTACCTGAGGTGGCTGAAAAGTTGTCTCCCTCTTGAGCGCACTGCTGGTAGGGTGTCTCCGTGGTGGTATGGAGTCCTGAAGGAACACTTGATCCGTGAGATAAGAGGAAAAGGGGGGTGGGTCGCCCAGAGACACTTGTCTTCCTACGACATCCCTTTTCTGAGACTCTGAGACATCTTTATCTCCGCCAGACTGCTAAACATTACTGATGGTGGGTGCAATAGAGTCTTTTGGGGATTTTTTTATTATTTTTTATTAATCGGTGTGACCAATGAAAGAAAGGAACAGGGTGATATAAAGAGCCCGAAAAGAAAAAAAATAGATCCAAAAATGCTTAAACTGATGTGGCAAAAAGGGGATAAACGTGGGATGGTGGGTGGAAAAAAATCCTCAGCTTCTTCTTGGCCTTGGAGGCATTTTGCACACTTGGTGACATTTGAGTGATGGCAGTAGGAAAAAGAAGGGCAGGATATTCAAGCTTCTAGAGATTTTCAGCTGTTGATTACCAGTGCTGAACAGGAAAAAAAATCTTCTGCCAATGTATTCTCATTGGGGGGCAAGCTATCCATATCCAGGGAATCCCACAAAAGGGCCAAGAGGATGGATTTAAACCTACAAATCAATCAAAAACACTCCCCAGGGAACTGAAAATGGGTTATTAAGAGACAGACAGCAGTGCACAAATACAAAGGAGACAGTTGGACATTTCCACACAGTACAGCATCATGAGACAAATATGCTCTCAGTAAAGATTCCGGGACAAACTAGAATCTGGTTATAACAGGGGCCCATGTCAGTGGACTGACTCACTATCACTACACTATCAACCCATGTTTAAATATTTCAAGTATCTATTCCACAAAAAATAACTACATTTGCTACCTTCAGGAGTCCAGACAGGGGTTGTTTATTCACTCTAGACATGGAGGCTTTTGCTCGACACTGATGATCAGCACGAAGAACAACCCTGGCTTCCATTTTAAGGAACAGGAAAACGCACTCTGGCACTTATACGGAAATAACGGGATTAAAGTAACGATCCACAACTCGCATTACAAATAACGTTAAGGCAAACACGTCTAATGGGGCTGCAACCACTATAGTCGTTAAACTTGAATTAGATTAGGGGAAATACATCGGAGACAGAACCGACGTTTCTTAGCAAAAAACATAGGTTACAGGTCACCTTAAGTGTTGCTTCGAAATATGTATGGTCAAACTCATAAACCAAGACAGTAAAGAAAACAATCACATACTTACGGTTTAATAAAAACTAGCCGGAACGAACTACGAGCGATTCCCAGCAGTGATGGAACGACACTACTGTACAGAAACCAGTTAATATTAGACTGTTACCTAAATAAACAATGGCGTGAGTTTGAACTAACTTACTGCCTGTTGACAGAATACTGTGTGTATTGCTAATGTTATATTCGCAACGCGTATCAAAGCTAACTATGCTCGTTTCTTAGTTTATGCTACATAACAGAGGCCTACCGAATTTCTCGCGACCTTAGCTTTAGTTAGCCAACTGTTGTTAAGACGGCTTTTTATAACGTTATGTAATTACCGTGATATTCACTTTTTTATATTTTAACACTATAGTGTAACAGCCAAATATAGTGTGTGAACAAGATATGCAGTGTTAATTACCAGTTTCAGATTTAAAAGAGTTAAAAATTGTGTAGTGTAGAGAAAAGACTCCGTCCCGGTTCGTTGACTGCCGCAGCCGCACTGATGCAAAATGGCGGCGGCGGGATAAAAATATGAGGGTGGGCCACACTGTGCTGCGTTCGCGTCGAATGGAAATATTGTAAATTCGACTACTCTTCTGTCCATTACAATGGACGTCACTTGACAGGGGCTTCTTTTTTACTTTTTGCAACATTTAACAGACAAAAAATAGGTATGATGTTGTCATATGATGTTGGTATTTTAAGAATTGTTTGGACCCGATGTCCATTGAAATGGACAAGAAAAATAACAATTAAAGGGTTTTGATTAAAAAATTTTTTTTATTGATTCTCATTTCTGGTTGCATTAAGGATGGGAAAAAGTCATTATTATATTTTTCACAACCTTGGAACATAAGGCGGGTCTGAAGGGGTTAAAATAGACACCCGGTGCTCTCATGCTGTGTGCCACTTGATTACTTCTATTTCACTACAGTTCACAGGGAAATAAGTACTGTTTAGTTTAAACGACCAGCTACAAAATTATATTTAAAAAATACTGCATTAACAAAAAATATATAGTGTTTTTTTTTTACTGTTGATACTCTAACTAAATTTTGCTGACAAAACTTGAATGCAAGAGTTTATGAATATCTCTTCCGCCACTGGTTTTGTGTGCTGCTTGATGTTGGTTGAGTAATAACTGACTAATATAAGAGCTAACATTTCAATTCAATTCAATTCAATTTTATTTGTATAGCGCCAATTCATAACAGAAGTTATCTCAGGACACTTTTCAAAAGAGCAGGTCTCCGAACTCTTTATAACATATTTACAGAGACCCAACAGTACCACCATGAGCAAGACTGAGAAAGGGCAGGAAAATTCAATTCAATCAATTCAATTTTTTTAGCAATTCATAACAGAAGTTTCTCAGGCACTTTTCAAATAGAGCAGGTCAGACCGAACTCTTAACATTAATTACAGAGACCCAACAAAAAAAAAAACTGCCTGTTAAAAGGCAGAAACCTAGAAGAGGCCAGGTGGGTGGTCGTCTGTCTCGACCAGTTGGGGTGAGAGAGAGAAAAGAGAGACAGAAAACAGAACAGACAGACAGAGACAGACAGACAGGTGCACAGCAACAACAGTAGCAACAACTACACTAATAGTAGTGACTGATGATGATGAACATGAAGAAGATGATGACGACAACAGCAACGATGGGGGACAATGAGTAGTGACAGTAGTAATAATAGTAACTGTAGTAATAATAATAATAATAATAATAATAATAATAATAATAATAATAATAAATAACAATAAAAACAATTCACGCTGTAATATATAATATTTCCACAAGGGGGCGTTGTGAGTTGCTTTTTCATATTGCTGATGTGCCTGAATGCTGCATTTGTGGATGGATTGAAAGTATGCCCATTGGAGCCAAGTTTGGTAACGTTCCTCCTATTTATGCAGCACTACTATACTGCTTATGTTAATGAATAAGCACATAAAAAATTCCAAATATTAATTTTATTTAACTATTTAGTTTCTTAAACGTTTTTATTACAGTGCTTTGAACATTTTATACAGCATTGGCAAATCCCCACCAAAGGTGACGTCCTTTATTGGTCAATTTTTCAGGGTGTTAATAACAATACCAATAATACTAACAACAACAACAACAACAACAACAATAATAATCATAATAATAACACTTTCAATAATAGTTGTACCTAATATTTGTGAAACGACTCCCACACACTGGATCACTTACTGATGGTATTCATTTCCTAATTAATTAATTTCATTTAAATTATTACTAAGTTCTCATTGTTTTAAAAAAAATAGTATTACTTTACTTATTACTCCCTGCCAACAGTAATTAGTTACACTACTAATTTCATTAGTTTTCGCTTACGCCCCACAAAACTGGTAACTGTGTCCTTTGTGCCCAGATTTCAGACTTATGACAATTAAAATCCAGTTTTGTTTGTTCAAATTAAAATAATGTAATATTTCCATCTGCTGAATGTAAGTGTTTTCACCTTCTAAACTAATTCCAGGATTACAAAACTGAATCCAAGGATGTGACTGGATTGTTGGATTTCAAATGAATATGGGGATAGAGAGCAAAAGTGACATAATATATATATATATTTTTGTGGGGGGTTACTTTGACATTTGTTAGTAATTAGTTACACTACCAGTTGCTGGGGAAAAGTCATATTATTATTGTAATATTATTATTACTACTAATGAGTTACTGCCCAACACTGCAAATGATTGTGATGGCAGAACGCACACATACTATTCTGTTGTTCATCAGACAGATTTGTACTTATTCTCCATCCCCGAGGTGGAATAAATTCAAGAAATATTTTATAGTTGAAGTGGCCCAACAATATAAACAAATGCTACACGCTTTAGAACATTAACACGTTTTCGTTATTTTGAAAAGTAATAACCGGAAGTGGTGTACATTTTATTTTGGTGGGTGTGACAGCGGTTCAGCTGTACGGGGTTTGACAGTAGTCTTATCAGTTGTTTGCCTGCCTGTTACTCTCCCGCTGACAGTCAGTAGCCGTGTATCGCTTCCCACCTCTCGAATGCAAACTTAGTATAACTTTAAGTTAGCTTTCCAACCAAACTGACGACTTTAGGAGCGAAACACAAACTGTTGTCTCGCCGTCGCACGTCTCAATGGACACTGTTCAGGTAGGTGAGTTAGCCAGATTGACAAGAGTCAGCGTTAGCATGTGGCTAGCACGGGTTGCTAACAAGGGCAGGGCCAGTTAGCCACAAGGTGACAAACAGGTAACGATAGAGCGTTAGTAGTGCTAATTTAAACGCTAATTCGTTTGCACCTGGCTAACTAGCTACATGTTTGTGTGTCGTCTTTTTACACCTTGTTTGTTATCCGCAGAAAGTGATGTCTGGATTTTCTCTGGACCTGGGACCATTAAAGGAACCTCTTGGATTTATTCGTGTCCTAGAATGGGTAAGTAAAGTCCAAAAGTACTTCAAAATGTCTCCAAAATAGAACCCGACCACGTTTATGTTAGTGACAAGTTCGAATGAGTGTCCAGCCAGCTCAGCGTTCCTCTCGTTTAATCCTCGTGATGTTAATATTGCCTAGTTGTCCATTCACTAATTCAATGTAACAGTTACCAAACACCGAGCAAGTGCCCTTCACTGTTCCTGTACTACACAGACCAGAGTGTAAAGGCTGAGAGAACCCTTTGAAGCGGGTGCACGGTTCTCTGTCTCTGTTCCTTTGTAACTTTGCAGTCTTGACTTTTGACCTGTTAAGATTGTGCCACAGCTTGTGGATTTACAATGCATGTAGCTACTGATTTCTCAAGTGAAATGTTAACCCAAATGAGGATGTCAACATTCTGCTGTAAACCCTCACGCTGAGTCTGTGCCCATTTCACCCACCTCTGTGTGGCTGTAAGGAAGGCCAGCTGTCGAGAATCTAAGAGCCTGGAAACGTATGTTGCTGCTAAGTAGATGCTTCATGCATGCTCTAAATATCTCTACCGTGTGCATCTGTGTGTTTGACTTCTTGTTGAGTAATCTGAATGGATCGTATACTAAAAAAAGCAATCAGTCCAGGAATGCCCCCTCGTGTCTGCTAATGTTCATAGTGCTCTGGATTTCTGGTAGATGCAGACTACTGTGCTAACAACAGTGCTGTGTATATTTAAGGCGTGGGCTTGCACAACTGCCATGTCCTATTAGCCATTAGCATATACAGCAGGTAGTATCTGCTGCTGTGGTTTGGAGTTTGACTCCAGGAAGGTTACTTAAAAAGCCCACCTTTCTATTCCGTCATTAAAGCAAACAACAGTTTGAGAAAACATATTGATGTACAGATGAATTGCATGGAAGAAAAAGAAACACCCCTAGTGTGTAAAGCCGTTTCGGTCTGTCAGCGGGTCCACAGGTCTACATGACACGCCCTCGACATGGTCACAGTTTGGTTAGGTTTAGGCTAAAAAACCTGATGCTTTAGGTTTTTAAAGATAGATAGACAACTCTTCAATTAACATATTTAATCCAAGAAGGTATCTTAGTGGGTTTGTTGTGTAGTCTGTGAGCCTGCAGATAAACCTGTCTCACAATACCAGGACCTCCTTTTAGCGCTATGCAGCCATCATTAATGTTGTTATTTATGTTATGTTACAGTCCTTTTTCTGTTATAACATGCCAAAATGTCATAAAAACCCCAATCAGTATAATGATTGCCAAAAGCAGCAGAATTATCTTTGTAGTTTACATTTGGTTTATTTGCTTGTATATTGGAGAATTAAAGGATTCAAGGTTAATTTATTGCTCTCGCTTCCCAGGAAACTGAGTGTAAGTCCTGCTGGCTGCTGTAGTGTAGCATTCTCTGAGCATCTCCCAGGGGAATGGGGCTGCAGTGGTATAAGAATACAGCACACATACCGTTTGGGTAAATGAGCATAAATGCACTAGACTGGGTAAAAACAGACAAAAGGACATATTTCTACCATTTTCCCTCCATTTTATATTAAATGATGCAAAGCACTATATTGGTGATGAGTTGGCCACACTAGTTGAATTCTTGAGCAAACTGCAGCCACAGTCATGCTTCAATGCTCAGGTTTACACGCTGACTACAAAGACACTATCTCTAGCCTTGTTGGAAACTTAATTAAAGACATCTTTTTGTACAGATTCTATTTTTTCCATTTGACAAAAAAAGTGAACTTGGAAAATTTGGCAAAATTATGATTTCAATCTCTTCCATACCAGCTTTCAGTATGTGACAGTAGTATATATACTGTATCGTTGCTATGGACACATTTTGGTCAAAGAAGTATTAGTAAGTAGTAGAGTTTGATACATAGCCATAGTAAAAACCAAACTTTGGTCTATGGCCGGTAGTTTACCATCTATGATTTGTCCAAAATATCCCAATTTGTGATTATGCCAATACATTTTCTTCTCTAGTTTCTTTCTGTTTCAGTGTATCCCTCTATGTGCTGACAGTTGTTGGTCTGAGTCTTGTGACTGCTGCTGTCTGTGGAAATGTGGCACTTTGATGGCTCTGCTTTTTGAGTTTGTCTCCTTTATGATAGTCACTTTGTTGTTGCTCTGAGTTTTCAGTTTCTCGAGGCAGCTCAGCAAATTCAGTTTGTTGTCGGTCTGCTTCAGTCTCAGACATTCTTCCAGGGCAAGGCATTCTTAGCATTCGCTGGGAGAAACAGTTTGCCTTCCTCCTCTCTGTTCTTGGAAGATGTTTATAAGTGATATTACTGGATGTAAACTGGCCTGTATGCTACAGCCTGTAAACATGGACACTAGCCAGTAAGAGCAGTTTTTCACAGTGTCAGGTGGAGAGTGGTCACCCCTAAGGGACGTGGTGGCCCTGCTATTTTTGTAATCATGACATGCTGGATGTGTTTTGGGGTAAGTATTGCTATATGTCCATGTGATGTGCTTTATACAAATAAAGATTGTTAAAGTGCTGGGCTGTATGACCAACAATTAATATCACTGTATTTTTTAGCATGACTGGGCCTTTTATATAGCTATAGTGGCTTATTCTACTTTCTCTTTTTTTACTTACACTGCACAAGAACTAAATTAGTCATAGCAGTTGTCTCAGCTTTGCAACAGTATGGCAGTAAATGCAAAATTCATCATATGGGAAATTAAAACCGGTGTACCAGTTAACCAGTATATTGCCCAGCACTAGGTTGTTGTATAAAAAGCTAAACTGCTAGTGTCAGAACCTTGTGACTGGCTGCTCCTGTCTCTTATCGGTCCAGCCACTCCCCGGTCAGGAGACGTAGTGAGGAATGCATCGGTCAGTCTGTGGGACGCTGGGTGGGACCCTGGACTTTGGACAGGGAACCCCTGCCCTATGCGGAGGGTTTATTTGGGGTCCTGTCAGACTGGCTTGGGTGGGTCAAACAGGGCTGAGATGAAAGCTGAGAAATGGGGTTCCAGAGACACCTGAAAGATGAAACCCATTCCTGAAACTCCTCAGTGGGCCTGAGGCTTGCTAAGTACTGCGCTGTGTTTCTCTGTGTGTGTTCCTGCTGTTTATCTTGCTGTTACTACACTACTGCAGCAGCCTGTGCTTTGGATCATTGTATACAGCTGTTACCGTAGCTGGGAAGGATCCTGATGATTTGGGAATGTGCATTGGTAGTTGTGGGCGTAAGTGAACAAAGGACATTATTCTTGAGAGAAAGTACGGAAGCAAGAATCACATGCCTTAATCAGAAGCGTTTCATTGGAGGAAGGATGTTGGGGGGGGGGTGTGTGTGTGTGTGGGTAGTGTAGCGCTCTAGTCTTACACACTTTACTGTTACTGCAACACCACCACTTGCTTACAAGAAAGGGGCAAACCTTTTCAACATCAGTTGGTTGAATTCATTTTCCAAACCCTTTGATCAAAACCTTACACAACACTTTGCATAATACCAAATGTGCATCATCATCCAGCGACACCTCAATATCGACTGAAATAAAACATTTTATCATGATAAACATTTCAGCTATTGCCTAACTGTTATCACCTAGTGTGTAGGGGCATGTATAACACACCATTCAGCCACATACACTGCATTAACAGTAACTGATATATTGATATTACTTTATTTAAGCAGTGTTACAATGTTTAAATAGCTTACTTTATAAGATTACATTTCCCCTGAAAGTAGTCCCAGGTATCCCAGCCTTAATGAAACACTTCACTTCACTTTTCTTCCTGCTTGTTTCCACATATTGATTGTATTGGTGGTATGTGTATGATGTGTGCCAGTGTTGGCTGTATGAAATCCCACTCTGCTCTCTGCCTAGTATCTATTTTAGCACATAATGCCTTGCCTTTAAAAATAGGATGAAACGGCAGCAGTCAGGATCTCATTGGCATTGTTGTTGAGTTGTACTCTGTTTACCGATATAGTACCTCAACAAGGTTTTTCCTGGCTCAGAAAGGAGCACTGGTGCTACCCTAGAGTGTAAGACTTTTTTGGGAGTGCTTGCTTGTATAGTACCACTAGGACTATCTTAAGGGGTTAGGCTTAGAAATGTTTTCGTACAATATGGATTGCAATTCCGCACAATTTCCGCACGTTGCCCAGTAGAGTTCTGCACAGACCTGCCCGATTCAGTCAGATCTGAGCCCAGTCCAGGTCCTACAGCCAACAACATTCAACCTGACCACAGTGTCGGTGTGCTGCGTTCCTGCTGCAGGTGAAGAGGCTGTTCAAATCTTGTCCAAACCTTACCCAGACCTGTTGTGCTAATACATTGAAGTCTTCTGAGGGCAGTTTGTGCTGCACTGCAGTCGACTCTCTGGCCACCCTGGAGTAGCATCGCAGTTTTTCTGCAGAGTCAGTATATGTTAGAGGAAATGCTCTGGGTTCCCCTCTGCTTTTCAGTCTTCCTGCTGCCGTCTGCTCTCTGTCAGCATAGTTGTACACATCAGCTTGTTTTTCTCCCTTGAGAAGAAATGTTTTGCTGACATTTGTTCTTATGCAATGTGAAAAACAACTTCTGCAGGGTGAAATATTCATTCACAGTATTCACAGTTCAAGGTCCAGTGTGTAACATTTAGGAGGATCTATTTATATTCATAGGTATGTTTTAATTAGTGTATAATCACCTGAATATAGGAATCAAATGTTTTTGTTACATTAGAATGAGCTGTTTTTATGTACAGACACTGCAGTGTTCAGTGCGTTGCAATCTTCAGGTTCATCCTTACACACTGGCCCTCTAAAGTGTCCTTTGTTTTCCCCAAGTTTAGTTTATTTATAGTTCCTTTTGAACATAGTGGTAATTCCATGTATTTTATGTAAGGCAGGCAAAGAAATGCATTAGAATAACATGAAAAAGATAAATGAAATGAATTAAAATAGAAAAATATAGACTGACAAAAAATAACCTACAAGAATTAAAGTAATAAATTGCAAACCCCAACTTTAATAAAGGCGCAGTAGTTTGTATCTGATAGTACTGGGCGCCAAGGCCTAATAATAAAATTTACAATTTAATGTTTTTCCTAAAAACCAACAACAACAAAAAAAGCATAGCTTTAGCATTGAGAAACACCACCACATCTGTAATATATTATCAGTACTTCCTGTATGGGATACTACGGTAAAATAATTCTACACTTTTTCTGTAGATGAGACTTGAGTGGATTGAGGTTTGTTTTACAAAGTCCTTAGCAGCTATGTATCCCTGCATTAAGCAGTTGTATTTTAATTCTTGATTGCACAATTCAGACATGTTTTAGCATAGTTTTAAAACATACATTTGTGTTAATGGATTTGTGGTACTAGGATCTGACTCTGGGAACTACCAGCTGAGTGCGTCCTAAAGATATAAGGGGCCTACTCTGGTTGGATTGTGCTACAGCTCTTTGCAATCTTTTGGGAAGACCAGAAAGAGCACCACTGCAGTAGATAAAGGCATCAATACATTTATCTACATTGTGTCTGTACATAAAATGTCTATTTTTTGCTATTATCCAGTGCTGTCTGGTTTAGCAGTTGGTTTTGGTAAGTCTGTCGAATGACCTTCCTGCCCTTTCTGTGACTCACCCAAGCCCATCGGTTCCTTCTGAAGACATAAATATTTAAAAACTGGTCCCAAATATACAGCTGGCCACTGTAGTTTTTAGCTCATGTTACTCAAACAGGGGGAAATAGTGAAGTTGTTGGGGACATCAGCAGCGGATGAATCTACATTTGGGGCAGCAGGGTGGTGTATGTGTGATTTGATTCTCTTTATCTACAGTGTGTGTTCATGGTAATGAAGGAACATGTCACCCAGTACAACAGTTGGGCTCACTGATGTGTTAATGGACAAACATTGGAGCTCCATGGCACAGAGGAAGAGGATCTGTCCTTACCAGGACCAAGATTACCAGAATATTATTAATTCTTTAATAAAAATTGAGGCAAATGATATGATATCCATCAAATCACAGGTTGACAACTTGAAGGAAAATGCTAAGTATATATTTGTCTGATCTAATGAGAATATAACATTTAACTATGTGAGACTGAGGTGACTTTTTGTGAGGGCTCGACTGATTGGAGCTAACATTTTGGTTGGTCAGCTTCATGTTAAAAGGTTTCCCTTGTTTGCTTTCAGGGAGGGAGGAGGGAGTTTCCTGTATGGAAAAGGATGTAACAGCTGCAGGGAGGAGAGCGATAGTGAAGTAGGGAGGTCGAAGAAAATTACATTTTGCTACTTATGTGAAGGGAAAAGGCATCATGTTGTTAATTTTAGATTGACTTGAATGTATAGTGAGTGTCTTAATGTGTCCAAATATGATGATTTAAAAGTCACTCAATTGGCTTTAATTTACATATAAATCTGTACTGAGATCACTCCTGTCACTCACCTCTTGCATATTTCTCTGCCTCTCCAGGTCTTCACCATCTTTGCCTTTGCTACCACTGGAGGTTACAGTGGGACAACCCACTTTACAGTCACCTGCACAGGAAGCCAGGTGGTGCACGATGTTAAGCCTGCGTTCGCCTACCCATTCAGGTACTGTAGAACACCAGAGGAGCACTCCCAGTCATAATTGCCTCTGCTGGTTATCTCTTGTTGAAGCCACATTACTGCCAATACATCTTGAAATGCAGTTTACATGTGAAACAGGATTTTCTTAAAGTTTGCAACCCATGCTAAAACAAAGCCAGGTCAAACACTGGTTAGATCTGTCTCAGTAAACAACACAAATGGGGAATACTGCCATCATCTGGTGAAAACTATGGTTACTCCACTTGGTCTCGGCAGGTTAAACCCCCATTCTGTCCCCTGTGACTTATTTTATCTCTCAGTGTAGGTGGACGCAAAATACTGGTTGTATAGCTTTATGTTTATGTTGTCAGATCACTGCAGAAACATAAAATATGCTACCGGCTAACCAGTGTGAGCAGTAATTGCTGGTTAGCTGCATTAGGTCCACTCTCAGAAGGACTGGTCCATATGGTTGAAGGCAATATCACATTAAGAATAATCTGGAACAGATTTGTAAAATGATAACATGTTTAAATCATATCAATCATAACAATATTGTTTACTTACAAAACGACAAAATAAAATAACAGATATACAGGAAATGATAAATGAGCAAACCCAATCTGAAATTAAACTGAATTGGAAACAAAAAATTAAAAACAAAATAAAATAAAAAACTCATGAAAAATACTCAACTGTAATAATTGATCAACACCACACAATTCCCCTAAAAGTGAGTAAAGACAGGGCTGTTAATTGATGCGGAGAAGATCAAAAGAAATGGTGGCAGCATTGACTGCATTGGTAGTTTAGTTGACTTTGTTAACACTCTGCAGGAATGAATGGAGCAAACAGTGCTGAGAGCATCAGAGTGGTTAGAAGAAATAAGAGTGAAGACACGTACATCCATGGTGCTGCTCTGTGCCTGTTGGCTTTCCATTTATGTCACTTTGAGACAAGACAAGGGGAATATTTATTTATAGATTGCTGCCCTTTTTACAGGACCATTGTGTAGGATTTAGTGGCATCTAGTGGTGATGCTGCAAATTGCAACTAACTGAACACCGCTTGTATACATTATAAAGGTACTTTTGATCTTCATTCAGCATTGTTTGGGTTTTTCGTCCCGTCATAATGTAGTGCAGTGTGATTTATATCAGTTAGACCAGAGGTTTTTAAGTTGGAGGTCCCCATGCGGGGCTCCTAAATGCTATAGAATGGAGATCACATAGATTAGCCTAAATGTGAGTGATTTGGTTAAAGAGATTTAGTTTTGGTGAATATTGCAGTTTTTCCCTCAGTCAGAAACTATTTTTGTATGATGGAGTACACCGTACTAGTAGTGAACAACATTTTTTACCATTTTTTTTTTTACTTTTTATGGACCAAACAACTAATTGATTAATCAAGAAAATGATTGAATAATAGAGGGGGTGCTTTTTCCAAGCTTTGTCTGAGGGGAGGCCCACAGTCTTAAACCGACATTGTGATATTCTGGTATCAGGAAACAGGTCATGTCTTTTTTTTATTGTGATTTTTAAGTGTTTTAAGAAATGACAGGAGGAAAATGTCAAATCCCTATGGAATTATGATGAGAACATTTTCAGAGAACATAAATGATAACACAAAAACGTTTCTTTCACTCATGGTTAGTGGTTGGGTGAAGCCATTTATTTTCTCAGATGGTAAAGCTGCCCATTCTTCTTGGCAAAAGCCTCCAGTTCCTGTAAATTTTTGGGCTGTCTTGCATGAACTGCACGTTGAGATGGCCACTCCAGAACCTTCCCTTTATTCTGCTGTAGCCAATGACAGGTCGACCTGGCCTTGTGTTTTTGGTTGTTGTCATGTTGGAACGTCCAAGTACGTCCCATGCGCAGCTTCCGGGCTGATGAGTGCAAATTTTCCTCCTATTTTCTGATAACATGATGCATTCATCTTGCCATCAATTTTGACCAAGTTTCCTGTGCCTTTGTAGCTCACATATCCCCAAAACATCAGCGATCCACCTCAGTGTTTCACAGTAGGAATGGTGTACCTTTCATCATAGGCCTTGTTGACTCCTCTCCAAATGTAACGTTTATGGTTGTGGCCAAAAAGTTCCATTTTGGTCTCATCACTCTAAATGACTTGGTTCCAGAAGTTTTGAGGCTTGTCTCTGTGCTGTTTGGTGTATTGTAAGCGGGATGCTTTGTGGCATTTGCGTAGTAATGGCTTTCTTCTGGCGACTCGACCATGCAGCCCATTTTTCTTCAAGTGCCTCCTTATTGTGCATCTTGAAACAGCCACACCACTTTTTTTACACAAGTTATTTGTGTGTTTTTCTTTGCATCCTGAACAATTTTCCTGGCAGTTGTGGCTGAAATTTTTGTTCGTCTACCTGACCGTGGTTTGGTTTCAACAGAATCCCTCATTTTCCACTTCTTAATTAGAGTTTGAACACTGCTGATTGGCATTCTCAATTCTTTGGATATCTTTTTATATCCCTTTCCTGTTTTATACAGTTCAATTACCTTTTCCCGCAGATCCTTCGACAATTCTTTTGCTTTCCCCATGACTCAGAATCCAGAAACGTCAGTGCAGCACTGGATGAAAGATGCAAGGGTCTGTCAGGAGCTCAGAAACTCACTGACCTTTTATATGCAAACACTGATTACAAGCAAACAGATCACAGGCGAGGATGGTTACCTTTAGTATCCATTCAAACCCGTTTGTGTCAACTTGTGTGCATGTTATCAGGCCAGAATCTCCAGGGTATGTAAACTTTTGATCCGGGTCATTTGGGTAGTTTCTGTTGTCATTATGATTTAAAAAGAGTAACACATTTGTTTGACAATAAATGGCTTCACCCAACCACTAACCATGAGTGAAAGAAAAGTTTTTCTCTTTATCATTCATATTCTCTGAAAAATGGCCAAAAAAATCACAAATTCTGCCAGGGTATGTAAACTTATGAGCACAACTGTATATGCGCGCAGTGTTTGTAAAATCTTCCAGGTCCCTCTTAATCCTTTCACATTTTCTCTTCTTGCCTTCCTTGGATAGAAGAATAACCCAGGTGAGGACTTGTTTTCTCTGAAATCACACAAGAGTAAAAACAGGAGTCATCAGAGCGACTGTTGAAAGTGCTCTCTCCTTCTCTGCAGGTTGTCAGCGTACCCATATAAGATCCCCACATGTAACGGCAGTGGATTCAATGTGACCTACCTGCAGGGCGACTTCTCCTCCTCGGCAGAGTTCTTTGTGTGTGTCGGTGTGTTTGGGTTCCTTTATTGCACTGCCACACTCATCCTCTACCTGGGCTACCAGAACATCTACCGCCAGACCACCCGCGGCCCCGTCATAGTGAGTACACATCCTTTGGTCAGCAGTCAGCTTTCTTCATACTGCTAACCTCCTTCACACCCACCAGCCCTGGGTATGAGGAGAGATGGGGTTGTTTTTATTAGTGTTAGAGCGTTAGTGTTAGAGCTACACAGGGGGCTGAGTTGGTGGCAGCGTGTTATTTAAGGTTCCTCTCAGACATTAAGTACAGTCCAGTTGGAGTGACTAGGTGTGTAATGGTACACAAAATTAACGGTTCTCTGTGTGCCTCATTTTGGGGGTCACCGTTTTATACAATTTTGGTACAACAGGGAAAAGAGAAAAAAAAGTACAAAATCATTTTTTTCATTTATTTTGAAAAATGTAAACATTAACAGTGGCTCATTGGTTATAATTCTTCCTATAACAGCTAAGGCACTCAAATACTGGCATGTTGGCAATAAGAAAAATAAAGTAAAACTAATAATGAAAATAATATGTTTATTTATATAGCACTTTTTAAAACTATAATTGTCTACAAATGTAGGGCTGCACAATATTGCAATTATTTTGACAGATACTGCTATTGCGATATGATAAAGGATTGGGGTGGGAATGATGCTTGGACTGGGGTGCAGCAGAATTCTTATCTTTTTTGTTGGTTAGCTTGTGAAAAATAAGCTAAAACCATCTAAAATCTGTGCCATGCTATGGAAAATATTCCTGGAATACCTAGAAATTTAGAGACTTGTTTTCCAGTCAAGGAAACACCTGGAAATGGATTGGAATGATCTATCCTGGAAATAATCTATGTTGACCTGGAAAATGTTTTATTGTATTTTAGCCTACGTAAACCTGGCTGTGTATTTAGTTTAAGACTGCACTGTTGGTAGTATAAACTGTGTGTTATGACACACAGATATTGGCACTAGCCAGAATGTCAGTGCATGTTACTCTTTGGAATTAAAAATTTAAAAAATACATAGCGAACTCATGTGATATGTGTCTGTATACCTGCTCAGTGTGTACTGTGTACTCCCTGCCAGGACCTGGTGGTGACCGCTGCCTTTGCCTTCCTGTGGCTTGTGTCCTCCTCAGCCTGGGGCAAAGGGCTGACCGATGTCAAATGGGCCACTAACCCTCACCACCTAGTGGAGCAATGCCCGGACATCTGTAAAGTAGAAGAGTTTCCCTCTATGGGCCGCCTCCACGCCTCTGTGGTAAGTCATGGGAAAGTAGTGCTGCAGGCCTTATTACCTCCTTCTTAAAAGACCCAAAGTTCCATCCACACCCAGACCATGATAGCAGACCAAGTATCTGGCTGCTCTGTCTACAGATGGATTTTCATCAAAAATGAATCATTTGTTCCATCATAGTCTATTTGTTTTTACAGCTAATGCAAAAAAAGATGATGTTTTGGTGTAATTTAGTATGACGCTGCCTCTCCCCTAACCTCTGTGTACTCTCTTACCTCACGTTTTAATGGCTTTCTTCATCATCTGGGATGGTAAAACTAGGAACGCACGCTATTCGTGGACTAGCTGGTTACCTGTTGCTAATCTCACTAGTCGACACCAGAAATACTAGTCAGTTAAACTAACTATTAATTTTATTAATGTACAATGCTAGTTAATTGCACCTTTACGCTCACTAGCTCGGGCTCCAGCCCAAGCATTCATGCAAATGCACTCCTTGTCCCTGCACTACTGCCACCATTGGTTTTTAGAGTTCTCTTTGTCCTAACATGTTGTCACTGCGGTCTGCTTTGGGATTCTAGCAGCTGATATCACTTTCTATCATAAGTTAGATATTCAGCTCTTACAAACATTCACACATTATAAAGTAGCTGTCAGCCTTGCTGTAAATGCTGACTTACAGGCGATGTTTAATGTAGCATTAGCTTACCTGCTCCCTGACAACTGTAACATTATCCTCTTTAACTTCATGGCCAATGCCATCAGCTACGTTTTGTCATTCACAAAGTGAATCCAGCCAGCAGTGGAAAGTAAAAACTCAGAAGGGATTGTGTGTCAAGTTATTCCACCATTATCAATCAGCCATGTGAAAACAGCTTCTGTGTTGGGGGCTGAGCTCCTTCACATACACACCCACAAACACTAAGTGAAGTCAGTAGATAGCAGGGCAAGAGTAGGGGTAGAGCTGAGTCCCTGCTGCGGCAGCCATAGGTCAAGTCCAGCCTGTGAAACTTTGCTGCTAACATCCCATCTTTCTCTCCCTCTCTCCCCACTTTCCTGTCACTCTTCAGCTGTCACTATCAATTAAAGGCAGTAAAAGCCCCAAAAACATTTAAAAAAGAGAGAGAGAGGCCGTAGTGAAGTGAAGGTAACTCCAACATGTATTTACTCCAACTAGAATACGACTACTCTTGTTAGTGTAAGTAATACAACTAGTAAAAAGATTTACAACACTTTATCAATACACCTGTTCAACAAGCAGAAACATGTTGGAAAGCAATATTTTAATCTGCTCTGTCCGCAGTCTCTCCTCCACTGCCACTACACAAGCACAGCGCAGTAGCTGGGCTAATAGCTAACTGTTACAAGCTGAAATGAAACTGCGTGAATGTAGTCCAACTGTGTAGCTTAGTTTGCCACGGTTTATAAAGTCTGTCAAATTCTTGCTGTGACAAACCTGCTCCTCTGACTGACTGACTGACTGTGTACATGATTCTTTCCAAACGTCACTCAGTATTTAGATTCATTTCCAGCGAGTTATTAGGTGTATATAATGACTTTGCTGTTGTAAACATTACTGTTGCTGCTCTAGAAGCAAAATAGTTAGTATAATATAAATACATTCACCTCTGCATATGGAGTTTTACAACCCAGAAAGTGAATGCCACTTTCTGTATTTTCTATTATTTCTCCTGCACTCAATTGTGTAGATCTGCCGTCACTCTTTTTACTATGTTGAAGTAAATCTAAACGACAATATTCATTTCATTTCACTGTTATTACACTGTTTAATTAAACATAGCATCCTTTTTAATAGGATCATTTCTTTTTTCAGATTAACACTACTAGCAACCTTAGTACCAATACTTTCTCCATTTTCAGTATTCCACATACTGGAGGGTGGCTGACTGCAGATTGTTGTATAAAACAGCCAGTGCCATCTGGTGTTCAAAATAAAAACTTCCTTTGCTGAGATTGCTTTGCAGCAGTGTACAGTTAATTATGTGTAATATAATATTAATGCAATTTGTAGAATGAAAATGTAGTCTTACACTAGTATTTTTATTTTCCAGTTTTACATGCACTTTTTGAGTCAAAATAAATGGCAATAATTGTTCAAATTTTCATGTCCTAGCATCTCCATTCATTGAAAATAATCTAAGTGTTGATGTACAATCAAACCTATTTTTATGCCTTATTTTAAGGTCACCAATAAGTGAAAGTTTTAGTGTGTTTACCACAAAGAGTTTTACAGTAGGCCAGAAGGAAAAAGCCAAACACTGTCTGTGGAGTTTTTACCTCAGATACAGACATCACTGGTGATCGGTTAAATAGAAAAGGAAAGTCGGATATAACTGTATGTACAGCAATGTATATTGCACTCATCTGTGTAGCTGATCGGCTATTAACATTCCATTTGTGGAATTTTCAAGAAGAGACAAATAATAAGAATTTATAATAGAGAACCTTTCACAAAGTTTCTAAAGTTTCCCTTAACTCAGCCACATAAACTCCATGATATATATATTGTGGCTTTAGGTTCCACTCAGTCAAAATGTATTGAAAGATGATAATGAAATGATTGTTATGGGGTCCAAATCTGCTGCAGGCCCTACCCACACACCTGTATTAAAGGTGCCGTCTAACACCACACAAATAAATACGATTAATAACAATTTAATAATACAAATACAAAAAAACCCAAATAATTGAACCCATAAAATTTCCCCATGCAAAAGATATAATCACATTAAATTGTGTTCTCTTATTTCTTTGGATTGTTTTGGGGCTTTTATTTATTTATTAAAGAGCAGCAGAAGAAAGACAGTTGGGGCAGAGAGAGAATTGAATGCTGCAGAGAGAGAATTGAATGCTGCAGAGAGAGAATTGAATGCTGCAGAGAGAGAATTGAATGCTGCAGAGAGAGAATGGAATGTTGCAAAGAGCCGCAGACTGGAATCAAAGCCAGGCTGCGCCAGCAAGGACCCAGCACCTGCACACAGGATGCACAGCCCCACCAGGCGAGCCAACCAGGCTCTCCATGAACAGTCTGGGGCTGATTTGCCGCCACTCAAATTAGTCAGGCACAGGTTTTGCTCTGTAGGATGGCGATCTGATCTCAATGAGCATAACTAGAATGTGTAAATGGCGTGTCTGTAATCACAAAGTGAACACTTTACTTGTTTGTTGTTATCACGAATCACCTCTGTTTTCCTGTCTTTCTACAGATTTTTGGCTTTTTGAACTTGATCCTGTGGGCAGGTAACTGCTGGTTCATTTACAAGGAGACTCCTTTCCACAAGGATCCCAGCCCACCGGCCACCATGGAGGAAGGAGGGGCCCCCGGGCCTTAACCACATCACTGAGGGTCTTTGAGCATAGTCCTGTACCCACAGCAGAAAAGCTTTGTGCTCAACACTGGTCTCCGATGTTAACCTGCAGAAATGGAAACAAAAGGAAGGCAGTTGTCCTAAATCCCCCCCCCTGTACCTCCCAACACCTGTCAGAGCTATTTTTCAGTTACTGCTCTTTTAGCTCAAGTTAATCCATTTAATTCACCCAGCAACACTGTTCTTTATTTTTTCAAAATCAGCTCCCAATTCCCCTGTGCCTACACTAAGTGCAAATAGAAACTAAACTGCTTACACACTACGTACAGTAAGAGCTACTGTGAATGTAACCTGGGTTGAAACCTAACAGTGAATGTATTTGGTGTTCAGAACAGCAGGCCTGCAGTGCATTTACTTTCACATCAGCACATTGTCCTCCCTTGATGTCTGCCCTTCAGGGAACCACCGAGTGATGAAATTGTGATGCAAGGAGCCAGAATCTGTACTGGTCCTCCGCCGGTGGAAGAAGGCAGAGGATTCACAGAGGTTCAGAGAATTCAAACGGCCCTCATATCCAAATAAAAGCATGTGTTTTTACTCTTAATCTGGGAGCAAATGTGCACCTTGGGTTCTCTCTCAAGCCAGTCTAGTAAGAACCTGCTTTTTTTTCCATTAAGTAATTTAAAACGGCACAGATTCCAAGTGCTATAATTCTAAACATTTGAATTTCAATAAATGAACCTGAATGCTGTTTTTCCTCAATTTAAAGCTCCAGTAGGTAATTTTTATAAAAATGACATTGTCATATTTGCTGAAACCTTCACTATATCTTGACAGTAGAACACAAGACAGATAATCTGTGAAACAATCAGGTTCCTCTGGCTCCTCCTAGCACTCCTTATAGAATTTGCAAAACTTGTTTTCGTTCAGGCCCGGTAGATTCTAGTAAATCCCATTAGGAGGTCTAGGAGGAGCCAGAGGAACCTGATTGTTTCACAGACTATCTGTCTCATGTTCTACTGTCAATTTCAGCAAATATGACAACATTTTAATAAAAGTTAACTACTGCAGCTGTAAAGTAATTTAGAGCCATACCATTCCCCCACTAATGTTCTAAGCTGCTGACACACACTTAAATATACTTCACACTTATGTGCTTAACTTTTTAAATAATACACACTAAAGAAAAAAATCACACCACAATCTATTGCACTTCTCTGTACTTAAAGTGGGTAAGCAGAGACATTTATTTTAAAAGTATCATTTTGGTCATGTTCCAGGTTGTCCCAGCATTTGTCCTGGTTATCTTCAGCCTGTATCCAGAACAAGGCAGGCTCTCTAACTGTTTACTCCAGTAGCTGTTGCACAGGACTTCAGTGACTGATAGATGTCAAGCCAAACCATGTTTAGTTCCTCATTGATCAAAATGTTCAATTTACACTACTCAGTAACACTAAGACTTCTCCTTGTTTGGACTCTGTTTTCCTTGCAGTGATATTATTTATATACAGTTCATTTGTATTTTTATCTACATGAATTGGTCCATTGCATATTTTTAAAACCAACATTGGGTTTCTGTTTGTATTTCCCTATGGAAAAGTGTCGGTGTGCAGCTTCTCTTTGATATTTTTTTTTTTTTGGTAACGTCATATTTGCTGTTAAATTTGTTGTACCACTGAGTAGCCTTAGGCTTAATCTCCAGATTATAAATAGTTAAAGAACAAAAGTGGTCAACTGGGTGCCAGATTGATGTAATCCTGCTGTATTTCTTTATGACTCCTGCCCATAGTTCTGCTCTGCATGTAACCTGACAGCCAGTGCCATACAGTACATTATTTGGTTTAGTATTGAACTCTTTGCATTGCACTAAGAGGGATCTAATGATCTCTATGAAGTAACGGTTTTGATTTGAATTATTGGTCCGTCTGTGCAGCTGTTTTATTTTATCGCCATAGCCTCTGTAGGGAACAAATGAGGGGCCGTTTATGTCACTGTAAGCAAAGTAATATATTTTCCACATCATATTGAAATTAGACACATATTTAGTAAGACACCTTATCAATTTTAAAAGAAACATCTTACTTTAATTAGAGCACAATGGTATGTGGGATGTTTATGCATTTATTGACATTGGTCTTTGTGTATTTTATGCCTTGTTTGTGCACAAGGAAACAATGGTTTGTCTGTATCGACATGTGTAAAACATGAGAGCTGCAACTGCTGGATTCTGTCTCCTTTCTTAACTATATTGCAAAATGGGCTTGTAAAGGAATACACCTGCGTTCACCAGCCACCCTCGATGTTTACAGTAGTGGCTGACGGGTATGGGATTTTCAATGGTCGATATATATAATGCCCTAATCAAAACAAAGAAAAATCATGGGTAACCCCATTATTCCATGCACATTACAATCTAATATACATGGTTATTTTAGCCAGTAACATCATTTAGTTTGAATTTTTATTAAAGCTGCTTAATAAAAATAGCTTTTTGTCATATTCACTGAAACTTTCACTATATCCTGACAGTAGTACATGAGACAGATTATCAGTGAAACAATCAGGTTCCTCTGGCTCCTAAAAAAATTAAAAATAAACATGGTTTTTTTTTTTGTTTGTTTTTTGGCTTTTATTGCCTTTATTTGATAGGACAGCTGAAGACAGGCAGGAAGGGGGGCGGAGACAGAGAGGGGATGACGCACAGCAAGGGGCCGCAGATCGGATTCGAACCCTGGGCCACTGCAGCAAGGACCCAGCCTCGGCACGTGGGTCGCCAGCTCTACCCACTGAGCTAACCAGGCGCCGTTCAGGCCTGAAGGATTCTTGCTGGAGCTCTAGGAAGAGCCAGAGGAACCTGAAATTTTCACAGATTATCTGTCTCATTTACTACTGTCAGGATATAGTGAACGTTTCAATACATTCAGAATGTGACTGGTACTTAAGGAAGAGCAGGGGTACAATATGTGTGTCATTCAATTGCATTATTCAGTACATGATAACAAAATACACATAACACTAGCCAGTAGCAGTTTTAGATTAGATTTGCTGTAATTTAGCAGAAAGATGGTGGCGACAGGAAATTTAGGCAAACATTTACTGCAGGATGTATGAGAGTTATAGTACAAGCTTCCAAACTAACTTTTCACCACCTTCCCAAAACTCACAAGGTGGAGAACTAACACCGTTCCACAGCAGCTGCAGATGTGTCTGCAGACATTTTTGTTTATCTGCACTGGCTGACAGTTGGATTATGAAGAGTTATTTAAATCAAACCATCTGAAAAGTTTAGAGGGGAAATGTCTCTTCTTGGTGGAAATGCTGACAACTTGCAGACATCTGAAATATGGCTAAGGGTCCCAACCACACATTGTTTGATGTATGTAAGAGCACACAAGCCTAAAGGTTGGTCAGGGTGCTGCTATTGTGCATGTTGGCTCACTGGAAAGGCTCTGCTACACTACATGGAACAGAACCTTCATCAGTGTAATTGGTAACAGCTGAGTTTACCCTACTGTTTCATGTCAAAATAGCTGCTGTGAAAATGGTCTCTGAGCATTAGGAACATTGGAACGTTGGAAGAATTGTCTGCTGGAGCTTGATACAAACATCAGCTGAACCTTAGAATGCATTTTTGGACAGAATGAAGACTGTAGATTAGCCCCCCTTCTCTATGGCATTAGGAAGGTGTATGTGAAGGAATGTGTTATTTTAAAATAGACATAAAGAAGTTCAGTGGTTGAGCCCAACGTGCACAATTTTGCAAAAACTGCTCCCTTAACACAAATTCCACCACTCATTAAAAGTCCAGTGTGTAAAAGTTAGGAGGATCTATTGTCAGAAATGGAATAGAATATTCATAGGTAGTGTATAATCACCTGAATATATAATTGTTGTGTTTTTGTTACCTTAGAATGAGCTGTTTAAATGTCCTATGAGTCGCTGCGGGGGAATGCCAGATTACAAGTAATTATTTTTCCCTAAAAAGATTTAATATGTCTGAAAATACACACACTAATATTTTAAAATAAAACATGAATTTATGAATCTGTCAATAACAACTTTTGTATGCACGCGTTGGCCCAGTTTAATATGCAACATATTTGTATACAGTATATGTAATAGCTAAGTGGTCCTTGGCCTGAAAAACACTCAAGAACCCTGATTTATATCAGTGGTTCCCATCCTTTTTCCTTCAGGGTGCTCTTTTCTATCACTGAGTAAACTGACTAAGTGACAGATTTTATGGATATTTCATATTATTCATTATTACTTAATAGGCTTGTTTTTGGACAAATTCAGTGATTACTTCTCATTGTTCTATCAGCTCTTTGGTTGTTTGAATGTTTCTAATGCAGGACGAGGCTGTTTATCAGAGTGAAGGCTCTGTGAATATAGCTTGTGTTCAGGTCTGGAATCAAACCCTGGCCGCTATGGTAAGGACTCCTACACAGGGCGTGTGCTCTACCAGGTGAGTTACTGTGCGCCCCTATCTCGGATTTAGTTAATCTGAGAAATCACTTTGAGTGACTACCAAATAAATCCAAAAGTATTTAATCCCATCTTTTTTCATAATTCAAATATTGTTCGTCAGCATTTCTAGGAAACACATCTCTATTTTTTTCAGACAAAGCTACTTTTTATTCCACACAGATTTTCCCCAGAGTTTGGTGTATGGTGACCTGACCTGAATGTGATGTACAGTTACATCACGTCTTTGTGGTGAACTGTGTTTGAGTTGCAGCTCTGACTAGCTGTGTGAGGCTTAACCACTTACAGGGATTAAGAGAGGGGAAGGTGTGTTCACGTGTGTGGACCTGTGACTTCTGATCATTTAAGATCATTCACTCTCCCACTTTGTTCAGCGGAGACCAGTGTTGGGCTTGTACTCAAAAATGTAATTTATTACTCATTACTTGTTACTCTTTTCAAAAGCAATATTATACGGTGCCCTATAGCTCACCTGGTAGAGCTGCCGCCCCATGTATCAAGGCTGAGACCTTGCTGTTTAATTGTATGCTTTAACACAAGGATAACAAGAAAATTTACAAAACCAAAGAAATTACCAAAACAACAACATAAATACAGAGACATTAGGACATGGAGAAAATGCACAAAGAAAAAAGACAAAGAAAAAAAGGGGGTTGGTGGCGGTACTCGATGGGTAGTGTACGTTGTGCATAGGTTGTTCTGTCAGATTGGACTAGATTGTTAGATTCCAAATAAGTTGGGCGTGACAACAAAAGTAATATTGTAACTAGTCATTTTTGGGGGGTAACTGTAATATTATTACTGAAATTCATTAGTAATTATTTGTACCAGCTATTATTGGGGAAAGTAATATTATTGCTCATAATGCCTTACTGCCGAACACTGGTGGAGACAATATATGTATTTGCATGAATGTACAAATATAGGCTGAACCACACTTACTGTACTGTCCCACCCAGCACTAATGTCACTGATGATTGATGACATGAGTCATACACACAGGTAAATGTCAGTGCAGTGACTCACGTCTGCTGTGAGCAGGAAGAGACAAAGAGTCTGTCTGAACCAGGAAAGAAGTTTACATAGGATATGTAAATAACATTAATAGTTTACTTGCACTGTTGTAGCCAGGGCCTCTGAGGAGCTCACAGTAGGCTACTGTGCTGCAGTTGGTGATGGTGGCAGTTAGAACAAATCTGTATTTATAACATTCATAGAAAACTGTAACATGCTGAGTTATTTTACCTAAAAAAAAATGATTGTCAAAGATTACATTTATTTATACTTATGTTTACATTTACATTTACTTTGTATATAGGCTCTTATTATATTTCTATTTTCCATTTTTATTTTTCCATTTTATTAAATGTATGTATTGTTTTAGATATTGTATTTAAGTACTATTCTTTAACATTGTGTGAGTGGAACAACTGTAGGGAACAAATTTCCCCCCACGGATCTGATGATTACATCAAAAATGGTAAGGTAAGTTCAAAAATATTCTAAATTAATTTTAAGTGACACTAAATTAGTTTTGTATACAAACCTTATAACTTACAAGTTAAAGAAACATTCCCGATTAATTACTTTTTCCTTGGTATTTTGTTTTCACAGTAAACATAAAGATTACAAAATGATGTCAGCGTCACTTAAAATTACCAAAGCTACTTGATCAAGAATGTTTTTTTAACTTACAAAGTTTAGTTAGTCTAAATTAAAAATTTCGATGTAATCAGTTTGAGTTGAATGAACGTGCTTTTACAGTGAAGTGTTCGATCATTATGGTAACTTTTGAGGCTGCTGTTGGTGGCGGTGTTCTATTACAATCCAATATTGTATGTAAAGAGTTATTTCTAATGTTCTATCTGCACACATTTACAGACATGTAGGGGACAGAAACATATCACTATAATACAGTCCAATAGAGAATTGCTTGGATCCTTGTTTCAGGTAAGGGAAAACTCCCCCCTTTTTAACACCACACAGAAGGGATCCAGGGTCGGATCTAGAGAAACATTCATGGGGTGTCCAGAGGGTTTCATGGAGAGTGTAAGGGGTGACAGAAATATCTGCTGATTTAATCACAAAAATCACATATATCAATATTTGCTCGGAAAAGCTCCCAAATGAAGAGATTTGAACTCACCAACAGTATTGTGGCACATTAGTAAAGCAGTGAATAGAAATATCTATAGGTGGCATTAGAAATCAATAAACTGTTTTATTTTTAAATCTTCAGACATTTTTCCAAATACACGTCTTTTTTCATTGAACTGAGTCTAGAATGTGGCCATAACAGATCATTACATTCATTTCCATTTTTTAACATGTTATTTTTAAAGAATCTAAATGAATGTTGTTACATACATTTGACACCTAACTGGGTGACAGCTTGGGGGGGGGGTCAGGCATCTTTTAGGACTTGCTAGCCCTCTAGATCCGCCCTTGGGGAGATGCCCTCCTAGGAAAGACTGACGTGCAATAGATGTCTGGGGCCATATACAAAGGCTGAGGTCCTTACTGCAGTTGCCCTGGGTTTGATTCCAACCTGTGGCCCTTTGCTGTCTGTCTCCCCCTGTCTGTCTCCCCCTGTCTGTCTCCCCCCTCGGGAGCTCGGTGACTTTTCCAAGCAACTATTGATATATGTGATTGTGATTAAATCAGCAGATATTTCTGCTACCCCATGAATATTCCTCTAGATCCGCCCCTGTTGTGTGTGTGCGTGTGTGTGCGTGTG